CAGTGGGAAAGTAAAAGGCACAAGACTGAACTTGTTGAGAAAGGCCTTCAGCTGAGACTGGATATTGCATGCAGTGGGAGTTATAAGTAGAATCATAAGTAACCCAAGAAAGAGCTGTCATGAGTAACCCAAGAAAGAGCTTGGAGGTACAAGACCGCGTTGACAATGATATGTCAACTAAAGGTGTTAGTCTTGAGAAATTGAAGTTGTGCTCGACTTCAGTTGGACTTCTAGCTTGAAGACAGAGGTTTTGAGTTGTAGAGGAGGAGGATATCACGTTTGAAAATAAGGTCGATACAGCCAGCAGATGATGCAGTCAGTGTCCCAATCTCCAAGTGGGAGAATTGTTAAGGAAGGTGGAGACTCGGTCCACTTCCTTGAATTAACGACCTCGACACTTATGAAAATTATTTCAGTTTATTTCCTTATGTATTTTGTTCCCTGTTATAGCTTGATGCTTCCCTGTTTTTATTTAAAGCAGTTGCCTTCTATTGACAGGAAGAATTAAGGAAAGCTTAATTAATTATTATGCTTTACCAAATTAATCTCCCGCCCCTCCTGTTGCTATAGAGGAAAAAACAATGAATTTGATAGCTTGCCTTAATGCGTTTTATATGGGTCATTAAAGCATGGAGGAGCTCACAATTACAGGGAAGTTGTATTACTCTCTAAACAACCTTCTCTCCTTGGATTATACTCTGTCGTAAGGCTGAAATAAAAGAATCACAAGGAAGCTTTTCTTTAAAAGTTGTCTTTCTTATTCTTGGTGTGCCTCTCGGTTCAGTGAGAGAGAGAAGGTGAGGAGAGAGAGAGAAACAATATTCTTTCTTGTAAGTCGACGTGGTCGACAGTGTAATCCTCAAAGCTAATAAAATCCTCTGCAGCTCCGTGGACGTAGGCAATTTGCCGAACCACGTAAATCTTGTGTCGTCTTTTCTGGTGTAATTTTTTTAGATCTGTTTTTCGCTTTATTGCCGTTGTTGTTTTTACAACAGAATTAACTAGGACAACGAATTAACAGCCACGCAAAAAAAGGTCGCTGTGGACTTCAAGGAAATTATTAGGATAATTGCTCACTGTGATTTCCAAACAATGATTTTAGCATTTTCGAAACGCGCCGCAGCAAAAAAAGCTGCCTCAAACGCAATCTTAATATGTGATCTTGCATGAATTTTCTTTAAAGAAATATGACAAATCAGGTACAGCTATTATTGGTGGGTTCGCTAATTTTTGAATGGTGTTTCATTGAGCAACAGATTGGGAGTTGGTCCAGATGGCTAACTGATTGGTTTGGCATTGATGCGGACAATTCTGTTGAGGATGAAGAAACTGAAAACAAGGATGGTGACAGGAGAACAAAGGATCCTAATGCCAAATGCTTTAGTCTCCTCAATCAGCTGAGTGATCTCCTGATGCTTCCTAAAGACATGCTTCTTCACAGAAAAATAAGGAAAGAGGTGAAATTTTGTATTATTATTGTGATTGCCTGATCAGCTTTATAAGTTTCAGCCAGAAATATCTTACATGATTCTTATATTTATACTTTATGATATTAAGGTGTGCCCCTCGATTGGTTTGTCGTTGTTAATACGGATATTGTGCAACTTCATGCCTGATGAGTTCTGTCCAGAACCTGTGCCGGGTATTGTCCTTGAAGAACTTAACTCTGAGGTATGGTTCAGCAATGGTTGATTACCTCTAAAAACTAACATATTCTTTTAAAAATCTGTTAAACATAAATCCATCAGATAACCATAAAATATTTTCCCAAAATCCAAAAAACCATAAATAATCTGCAGCACCATCATGCTGACACAATCTGAGAAAAGAGGCCCATCAACACCAAAACAATATTTACAAAACTCACAAGAACTGCACCAATTAGCACACCATCCATCATCACACTTAAAATGGATAACATTTATCTTTCTACATCATCCCTTTCACCTTCAGATTTCTCGAAGCTGTAATTCCCCTCTAATTCCTCGACTCTCCTCAGTAAAACAGGTTTGATAGCCACCCTCCCTTCTTTAGCATTGGAGTGATTTGCACCAATAGCTGCAGAAGCTTCTTTCCAGTTGTTCAAGTAACATTCCGACTCGCTTGAGCACGGACATAGATAATATTCTCCATACTCACTTTCACATTGATCAAGTAACGTTCTGACTCCCTCTAGATTAATAATCTCCATGCTGGCTTTCGAGTTGGTTGAGTAACATTCCAACTCGCTCGAGCACGAACAAAGATTAATATTCTCTAGAAACTAACACCTTATTTGTTATAATCATTCCTTAATTAACAACTGATGCCTTACATAGCATTGATTTTCTGTTGGCTGTATCCGTTGAAAGTATTTTACTAGAACCATGCCCTCACCTACACACATTGACCTAATCTCAGTACTTAATATATTAATTAACTAAAAGCATATGAAGTTAAACAGATTAATATTTTTGTGATTTAAACTGATTATTAAATGATTTTTTTATTTGTTTGCTTCTCGGTTGCAGGCTATGATAGAGCGAAGACTATCAAAAAATGAACAGAGCAACAATTTCCCATGCGCCGCATCTCCAGTCGCATACTCT